GCCTCCGTGTTTAAATAATTTATTCACAACCGCATCTAAATTTAACTTCAGTTTATTTAACTCGGGAAGGAATGGTAAGGGTCGTTCACAGCCGCCGTTCGTGTGACCTGGGGAGCCTTTGATGCCATTTTTCCAACATCATATTTTATATCTTCCATTGATTCTTGGAGACTCGAACCACGGACCCCATATGTGTGTGAGGCTCTATTGACCTATTTTATTAGAGCGACCTATCGAAGCTCTATTTTATTTTCATATTTTGTAGTTATAATGATTCTTTGTTTATTTTTGTCCTATTGTAAATGTAGCAATATTAGCCCTAGGTGTTTAATGGATCAATTAAGGGTCCTATATAGAACATATTTCGTATGCCGTTCTGCCTTTTTTCCCTTTTTCTCTCTTCGAACCTTCTACATTTCTACCATGTCTACATTTAAACCGGTTTGTTTTATTAGCCTAGTCTACCTTCCCTTTTAGTTCATTCCTTCACTCGACTCTCTGGTCAAGCAAATGATTCTTTCCATCCCAATGTCTCTGTCATTTATTTATGTAAAGGTAAATGTTTACGTGCTTGTATCTAGCTAAATACATATGTATGTGTGTATGTGTGGACGTATTATGTCTCTGACGTATACAATTCCATCAAATGTTTTAGTCTGCAAGGTAGAGGTCTCCCCATTTGAATCGCGTCGACAATAATATTTAGAGAGCGCTATGTCAACATATGAAAGACAAGAGCTTCAGGGGTCGTTGTGCCGTTTTTCGTTCACAGGAAGCAATCAACTGAATGCATACCCACACAAGCTGACTGCTCCGAGTCCCAAGTCGGCGAACTGTCATTAGTCATGTGACTGGCCAGGGAATCAATTTGATAACGAGTAATAAAGCGTGACATCTGAATGTATAATGATTTTATCTGAAAGAACTGAAGGATGTAACTTCAGTCTCTAGAAATCATAAATTCTCAAGCATTACTCATGAAAAGGAAGAACAATTTTGATTTATACTCCAATAAGCATGTCAGCATATGACGAAATTAAAAAGTAATTTCAACAATGTGCAGTTCTTCTGTACAAAAAAATAACGCAAATTCAGCACAAAACTCATACAGTGTTACTGGAATTAAATGATATCATGTGATGTTATTATATATGTAACCGTTCAGAGAGTCACTTCCTGGTCACTAAAAACTTCCTGGTCACTAAAAACTTCCTGGTCACTAAAAACTTCCTGGTCACTAAAAACTTCCTGGTCACTAAAAACTTCCTGGTCACTAAAAAAAAGTGCTTTACAGACGGCTATTTACTGAAAACATCAACAAGGTGTAAATCAAGCTTAGTCACAACAAAGATTTGTAAATGCTTCAATAGCATTTACAGTGAATGATGACAGGAAAGGAAGGAATGATCAGGGAAAAGCACCAAGCCATTACGACTATATAGCACTTGGAAGGGTTCAGGATAAGGATTTGGGATTGGACGGAGGGGAAGGAATAGTGCCCAAGCACTTGGACGGTCTGGGTGATGACAGGAAAGATGACAATAATATACTAAATTAGGCGTATTCCGCTTTTATCGTCCTCCTAATCCTACTCATATCTTGCCTCGTTTCTCTTCCACATGCTACATACTTATTTCTCTCCTTCCTTTCAACTCTTTCCTAGAAATTTCGCTGTTTTTTAGGGTTTCCGTGAATGTATTAAAACACATTCAAGCCTTAATAAACTCTTGAGCCCCCTGGATGGCTATAGATCCTGGCACGATGTTATGGTTAGAAATTATGATCAGAAATTCTTATGGTCAGAAATTGTTGCGTTCAGCAATGGTACCAAAGTGCCTTTTTCTTCTTCAGGCGATTGCTATTAATGTGATCTAAAATCTGACTTGGTTTAGAGGCGAGATCACTACCTCAACTTTGGCTTCCACACTGATAGGAAATCCGCCAAGCACCAACATCCCCTTGAATGTCAGTGAGGTCTTCCCTGGAAACACAAACCGAAACTGTCTCTATTTTCCGCTTGTTACAACTTGAAATAAAGTTGTTACATCTTGGCTTAACGTGTTTATGACGTATTAGAACGTTGTTACAACTTGCTATATTGGTTGTTATAACTGGTTAGGAAGTGTTAAAACTTGCTCGAACGTTGTACCAACGTCGTAGTTTCGGTGTGTGTTTGGTGGGTTGCCTCTACAAGAGACAGATTTACGCTGTCTCCTCACGACGACACCAGTAAAATAAAACACGAATTTACGAAACAACGCTGGAAACACAAACCGTAACTGACCCTATTTTCCGCTTGTTACAACTTGTAATAAAGTTGATACATCTTGGCTTAACGTGTTTTTGACGTATTAGAACGTTGTTAAAACTTGTTATATTGGTTCTTATAACTGGTTAGGAGGTGTTAAATCTTGTTCGAACGTTGTCGCAACGTCGTAGTTTCGGTGTGTGTTTGGTGGGAAGAGACAACAGTGCTGGAGGAGACCTCTGTCTCCTCTCC